TGTTTCTCCTTCTCTTCCTGTTCCTGCTTCAGTTTTTGCAGCCTTAACTCGAGCTCTTCTCGTCTTAACTCCTTGTCATATTCCAGCCGCATCCGCTCCCGGGACGGGGAGCTCTGCCGGGACGATCCCCTGCTGGCCGCCGGCGTCAGGGCGCCCTCAGTATTCGCTGGGCTTCCCCCAATCCCTCCCCTAGGTATAGGTAGGCAGGGTCTCGGGATGTCCTCAGCAGCAGTCTGACCCCTCCCAGCCATGTCAGGCCCCGGAGCCCACGCTGCATCCGCCGGGCGGCTTCTCTCAGGGACAGGGCTCAGTTCATCCAAGCGATCCCTCTCCTCCAGCCGGGCAATGAGCTGTTCTTTGGTGGACCTCCCAATGCACAGCCCCCTCTGCCTGCACAGCTCCACCAGGTCGCTCTTAAGGCGTTTAGCATCCATCCTCCTGCTGGCCACTCGCCGGCCTGTGCTCTCCGCTTTCCACCGTTCCAGGGGGACCCCTAGTGTGCCAGCCCCTCTTCAGGTCACCACCTCTCTGCCAGGGTCGAGCTGCAGACTCCTCCGCCCTGGGACCGCTCGCTGCGATCACCTGGGGGACCCTGTTACTGCAACAGTCCTTCTCGCTGGTCACACACTCCTAGGGGTTAATCACTCCCTGAACCGTCCCTCCTTTGTTTTTCTGCTCCCCAGTCACTTACTGCAAGAAGCGCCATTCACAGGGTGTCGTACATCCCACCTCTGCCACCAGTTGTCACGGAGTGTGGGGGGACTCAGGGCCCTGCCCCCCCGGCTTCCTGCGATTCACCATGACTCTCAGCCAGCCAGTAAAGCAGAAGGTTTATTTAGACGACAGGAACACAGTCCAAGACAGGTCTTGCAGGCACAGACAACAGGATCCCCTCAGTTAGGTCCATCTTGGGGTCCCAGGGCAACCCAGCCCCTTGGGAGGTCAGAGCCCCGTCTCCCTCCCAGCCACATCACCAGCCAGCTCCTGAAACTCTCCCTTCAGCGACCCCTCACACAGCCTTTGTTCAGTTTCCCGGGCCAAGGTGTCACCTGGCCTCTAACCCCTTCCTGGGTTCTCATGTTACATGCTCAGGTATTCTCTGTCGGCCAGTCTCCCATCCCCCAATGCAGACTACCCTAGCCACACTCCCCGTCAGCATTCAAAGACCACATTAAGAACAGTCCCAGTTTTTCACAGTGTGTGTGTGTTCTTTGTGTGTAGGCACAGTGGTATCTCTGCAGCTGTGTGTATCAGTGTGTGTGATTGAATCTCTTGTCTGCTCTTCTTTAGTGAGCCCACTTGACATGTCTTATTGTCCTTGGGTCTGTCTCTCAGCCCCTCTCCAAGGGTTGCAGCTGTCTGGAGGTGTTGCCTTCCCCACCTTCCTCATGCACACCTCGTTCATTCAACAGGGCAATTGATTAAAAGTGTGTGTGGGGGGGGGAGATCTTATAGATTCATAGATTCTAGGACTGGAAGGGACCTCGAGAGGTCATCGAGTCCAGTCCCCTGCCCGCATGGCAGGACCAAATACTGTCTAGACCATCCCTGACAGACATTGATCTAACCTACTCTTAAATATCTCCAGAGATGGAGATTCCACAACCTCCCTAGGCAATTTATTCCAGTGCTTAACCACCCTGACAGTTAGGAACTTTTTCCTAATGTCCAACCTAGACCTCCCTTGCTGCAGTTTAAGCCCATTGCTTCTTGTTCTATCCTTAGAGGCTAAGGTGAACAAGTTTTCTCCCTCCTCCTTATGACACCCTTTTAAATACCTGAAAACTGCTATCATGTCCCCTTTCAGTCTTCCCTTTTCCAAACTAAACAAACCCAATTCTTTCAGCCTTTCTTCATAGGTCATGTTCTCAAGACCTTTAATCATTCTTGTTGCTCTTCTCTGGACCCTTCTTTCTTGAAATGCGGTGCCCAGAACTGGACACAATACTCCAGCTGAGGCCTAACCAGAGCAGAGTAAAGCAGAAGAATGACTTCTCGTGTCTTGCTCACAACACACCTGTTAATACATCCCAGAATCACGTTTGCTTTTTTTGCAACAGCATCACAATGTTGACTCATATTTAGCTTGTGGTCCACTATAACCCCTAGATCCCTTTCTGCCGTACTCCTTCCTAGACAGTCTCTTCCCATTCTGCATGTGTGAAACTGATTGTTCCTTCCTAAGTGGAGCACTTTGCATTTGTCTTTGTTAAACTTCATTCTGTTTCACTCAGACCATTTCTCCAATTTGTCCAATCTTGTTCTACTCCGAGCAAAAAGACATTTTTCTTTTATCTTATTCTATCCTTAGGGGCTAGAACATTATACCAAGGGCAATGCAAAGTTTCTACATCAGGATTTGATACAAAGTTTCCATATACCAAGGCTCATCAGTACAAGGTTTCTATATGAGGCTTTGATACAAAGTCTCATGAAAACAGAGGTCACACGTGGGTGGACCCACTACAGGTTACATGAAGAGGCACAATGTAAAGTCATATGAAAATGATCAGAGATTTATCTACACAGGGTGCAAATCAGGCCTGGCCCAGTGGGGCCACCCCCCGGCTCACCAGGAGGGGGGCCGAGAGCTCCCTCCCGGGGCAGCCCCTGTCCGGCTGAGCCCTGCGGGGGGCTGGGCCGCGCTTCGCCAGCAGGGGGCAGCAGCGAGTGCCCAGCCCGGCCGGGCTCCGGGCCAGATGCACCCGGGTCCCCTTGGCCCTGCTGGGGCCGGATCACGCCGGGGGCTCCCACGGTCTGGCTGCTTCGCGGGTGGAGCCTTTGCTCCCGCTCTACTTCCCCTGCACCCCTGGGCTGCACCGTCTGACGCTTCCCGGGGAGCCGGACTGGCAGGCCCCTCGTGACCCCCTGCCCCACTGTGAGGAGCCTCATCTGGCCCTGCTGGGGGTCAGACCCCCGACCCCCCTCTGCAGGCAGCACAACCCCCCGCTCAGCCCTCGACAGGTCAGCGATTGCCCCCCAATCACCCAGTATCCCCCTGGGGCGCCCAGCCCCTGGTGCTGCCACTGGCCGAGTTCCCAGCTCCCCCCCAAGACCCCGAACTCCCAGCTGAGCAGTGACCCCTCCCCCAGCCAGCGCCCCGCTCAGCCCTGGCACGGCCAGGCCTTACAGAGAAAACCAGGCTGAGTGTATGGACCAGAGCCCAGAGCTGAGTGTATGGACCAGCCAGAGCCCAGAGCTGAGCGTATGGACCAGCCAGAGCCCAGAGCTGAGCGTATGGACCAGCCAGAGCCCAGAGCTGAGTGTCTGGACCAGCCAGAGCCCCGAGCTGGGAGAAGGAGCCGCTGGAGGCTCCTGTTACACTGGTCTACAATTGTTGAGAAGTCGTCTGCTTCAGAGATAAAATGTGCTATTGATTATGTATTTTGATGTGCTGAATTCAAATATGACAATTAAAACAACTGATTAGCTACTGTTTAAGATATTTAAGTTTTTACATGTTATGTCTATGTATATTGTGTAGATAGAGTTTTAATCATAAATTGTAAACCTAGGTCTTTTCATGTGTTTATGGTTGCTTTACATGATAACATTTCACCTGTCCTGTTTATGTAACACTTTAAGGGTGGTAACAAAATCTTCCTTGATTCAACAAGTGGTGGATGCTGAACACTTTTCCTCCCAGGCTCCAATGACTGTCGGAGTGGCCAATCTTTCTTGATGTAGTGGGAATCCTTGCATGACTATCCCATTTGCAGAGAAAACAGCAGTACTTTGTGTATCCAGTCTGCAGACCAAGCAAGAGAGCAACAACCTTCAAATTGCCACAAAGCTGCCACTGATGTTGGTCATAGTTTATGCACCTCAAAAGTTGTTTCATGTTGTCCTAGGTT